ATATATATATATATCATAAACATAATTATGTTTCTTAGTCATGTTCATATGAAGCCAAGGATGGTCATCTTATTTGCTTATGACCTAGCACTAGCAACAGCCCTGTGCGTTGCACTTATTTATGTTATTTCCATTACTTTGTAACTGATTCTGCCACCCATTGCAAAATGGAAGGTGTGAGTAATAGGTGTAGAACGTCTTTTAGGAGAGGCCAATGCACATGACGTCTTCAGCTTAAGACTTCAGTCCTCGCAGCGACATCTGCAGGGTACAATAACTGCACTGCGATAAAACAAGAGTGAGAGAAGGCGTCACCTCCCTTGATGACACCTGTTGTATTTTTTCATCTAGCGAATGTTTCAACAGGTCTCGTGGCATCTATCACAATTCTATCACCGAGTCCAAAATAACTTATTTTAACACCTCACTAATATATTTTAAAATGAAAAAATTATAAAAAGGTTATATTAATATTTTGAAACAAGATATTATTAAACAGTTAGGATGAAAAATAATAATTTTTATTTAAATTAATAAAATAAAATTATTGAATTATTTTTTATTTTAAAAAAATTGAGTAATTCTATAATAAACAAAAGATAAAAACTTCTTAAAAATTGTATATGTAAAAATGATGAATCATTTTTTATATATTATTATAGATAAAATATTAATTTTTTTTTAATTTTTTTTATTTATTCAAGCCAAAAAAGTCTAGAATTAATTATCGATTAAGAGCATATAATATAGTTGTGTACAAAGGCAGATAAAAAAAAATAGTTCTTTATAATTTTTAATATATTTTCTTAAATAAAATAAACAAGAAAAAAGTGTATCATTTATGTACTGCATTATATTTATTTTCAAGTATATTTTTTTATATGTAAAAGTTTATGAATAATGACTAAGAATATTTATTGGTCAATTTTTTTTTTTAAATCAAGATATACTTAGTTAAAAATTTAAGATTAATCTTTTAAAATATTAAGATCTATTTAAAGGATTACTCATTGGCCGATATGCGTGTTACCTCAAGTGCAGGAACACTTTCACTCAACATTCAACACAAAACTGTTGTAGAGTAATTTAAAGTGGATTAATTTTATTAGAGTAAGTGTTTAACTTTATAAAGTGATTGGCTAATTAATACAACTCTATTAGTTAATTATTTCAAACAGTGAGTTTGTTAATTCAGTTGTGTAAAAGGTTATGTTGATTAATAATTTTAAGAAGATAATAATATATATTTATATTTTTGAAGAAAAATTAACGTAAGTAAAAATAACATTAATAGTGAATATAAACATTGTTAATAAAAATAATAATAAATAATAATAGACTAAGAATATAACTTTAAGATAAATAAAAATATCATTACAATGATAATATATATTATTAATTTAAAATAGTGAAAAATAATATTATCAAATAAACAAAATAAAGATATTCCCATATAATAATAAAGATAATAAATAATATTATAAAAATAAAAATACTAAAAAAAATATATTTATATTTATGCATTGTAGTATATGCCTAATTATTTGTGCTTGTTTCAACAATCAAATTGTTAAATTAAAAAAATTTAATATATATATTAAATTTATAAATCTAGAAAATTTAAAATTATATGATATTTTGTTATATATATTTAAATAAATGTATAGAAATAATTTTATGATTATTTATCATTTGAATAAATAAAATAAAGTATTAAATAATTTCTAAAATTTTATAAAATATATAAACTTGATCTATATGTTAAAAAAATTTAATTTAATGACTAAATTATTGAAATTAAACATACACTATGGATTATTGAATGAAATAACTTTACTACAAGCTACTCTTAGAATAATTTGATCCCTCATAATATATATATATATATATATATATATATGTATATATATATATAAGGAGGAATCTACATACTCTATTCAATGATTAATATTTTATATCAAATTTCAACGAAATTATTGAATTAAAAGTTCTTAATGCATATATATTTATAAATTTTAAAAAAA